AGGTGACGAATTGCATGTGTCTTTACTTGTAAGTCTGAGGAAATGTATGGCATCAGATCCCACAGCTGTATACAAAAACACAAGGGAGGATCGGTACGCAGTAAAATCTTTCCAACTGTATACAGCACAACTTTCCTGAATTACTGTTGCAATCTGCAGTTCGCTGCATGAGTGGGATGATGAGGATGGATTGCCACACTGGCACGTCAGACTAATTAGCATGCCAGGGTCCCAGATACATCACTGTCACCGTGATAAATGAAAGCTGACACCAGGCGGGAACCGGGAGGCGCTGTGGCAATTTTTCATTGTGCTGACGCTAATAACTGCGCTTCTCTGCACATTGTTACCTGATAACGAGTGCGTCTGTCGGATCCCATTCCGGCACGAGTTCCATGCAGGCGCCGCTCTGCATCGTAATGACGTCGCTAAGTATCTGTTCAATTGTAGCCACCAGATATTTGACGTCGTTTTCAACTTTGTTTTGCAGAGGAGGTCACTTTAGTTAATTGCACTGCGTGCTTGTTCACAGGTTGTATGTTTCAATGTAATTTTTCTTTGTTTTTTTTTTCATGTCAGTATTGTTACTTGCTTGTTATTCCGTTCATTGCACGTATGTGGGAGCAGAGGGGGGGCTCGATCATCAGTATAGCTTTTCCTCAGTCCTCGTAAAATTATTGCTAAGTATTTTCTTCTCCTAGCTCCGTAGTCAAGAGCAGACCGTATCAGTTAATAGTTATGGTTACAATAACGTCATTCCATCCAGAGACTTTAGAACATCCAACTACATATCTACTCATATTTCATGTTTGTACCAACTTGAATTCAAAGCCTCGCCTCTCTCAGGAATGGTAATCCGAGGCTATAAAATCCCAGCTCCCTACTATTGATGAGGACCAGTGAAAGGCAAAATGGTCTGGGCCTGGGCAACCCAATTCGAATTTGTTTATTCATTTAATTCAGTTCACTAGTAAAGGCGGCTTATTGTACGTAACTAACAGGTTTGGGTCATACTAACTTGAATATGGTAACAGAGGTTTCATCACCTCTCTTTTAGAAAGTTTGAGATTATACTCGTCTTACGGTACATTACTTGATATATTCAGAAAATATCATCAAATGTATCAAAGAACTGATTAAAATGTCGCTTACACGTGACCCACTAACTCACCCATACCAGACATCTGACTTCTGTAATCTGCAAAGCCGCCTCCAAGTCTGACAAGTGATTTGAAATAGATAAGAAGGTGCAAGGTCTACGTCTTAGGACTATTTATCTAACTTCTGCATCACCTTTCGAATGCCAGCCCATCATGAATATGCAGCTCCATCTAACAAGGCATTTGGTACCAAGTCTTTAAGTAATTGATGGCATCAATGATGTGAGGTTTTGGGACTGCTTTTCTTGGCATGCATCTTGTCCTTGTAATATATTTAGCTGTTGTTCAATATTGACCATGTAAAGTATGTAAGTCTTAGGTGATCTTAGGTGTTCTTGCAATCCTTATTTTTGAAAAAGTTATTATTGTCAGTAAACCCTTTCTTATTCCTTTATATCTCTCTTTATCATGATTCATTCCACTTTTATCAATCAATATTTGTCTTGGTTACTGAACTTTGGTAAAGATCCATACAGCCTACTAAGGCAACGCGGCAGCATTTGAGCTCCCACGACTCACCAGGCAGCACATGCTATTCATGGAAAAACTCAGTGATGCGCGTTGTTAAAAGGTTATACATCCCCTCTCTACATTGCGTGTCATAAACATAATCTTCTCCTTGCTGACGTCATGCATACCTGCAAGGCGTAGTCATCCCGGATCTTATGGTAACCTCAAAGCCTAATAACTGCTTCTAAGATGAAATAAGATAGACCCAGACTTGAGTAATTATATACCGATCTACAGCAGTTGTGACTACCTGCATGCGTTTAATCAATGTAATCTCCACTCTAACCATCCGCGTGGGGAGAAATGCCAGAAGTTGCGTAAGGCACCACGGGAGTCGAAATGGCCATATCTGCAGCAGATGCGAAAGGTCATCTGTGACGAGATCACCGGCAAGCTTTGCTCGGGTTGTTGGGTTTTAATATTCAAGTTTCTGCTTTAGTGAAGAAAGTTAGATTGCCTTACTAGGGTGGTAAACAAGTAAAATGATGCATATGGTAGACACTTGACAATCATTTGGTGGGACATGGGATCACAACGGGAGGATTTTAGTTTTAGTGGAACTTGGATTTGACCATGTGCCTAAACAGCCTGATAAATAGGAGGACGTTGTGAAAATTACAGGCCCAAGCAGCAGGTAATGTTAACCCAGAATGACTCGACAACGCCTTACTCAAGGCCAATAACGTCGATGCACCACCATTATGCCTCACCGTTTTATTATTCAAGCATCAGTGTCTGAGACATGAGACATGGGACATGTGCCTGATTCAAATACATGATTAGCCAGGTCACTTGCGCCACAAGAAAGCCAATAGAATGAATCGTCCAGCCAACCCATCTTGTTACACTGAATCAGCTCCATCCGTTTAAAAAACGGTCCCCGAAGTCTGAGTTTCCAATGTTTGATTCTTGACGCCACCTAGCGTGTAACCTTTGGAGTGGTATCGTACAGTTTAATCCAATATATGAAAAGAAAACACAAACTTGGATGTTTTTGACGCCCATTCCGTACTTAAACTTCGGTGTCATTCATATTCCAACAATGCTGTTTTATCATTTTTCGACACTGCAAGAGGAGATCTGCTTTTAAAAATTTACGATGATAACATTAGCAGACAGCTGTACATTGGAATCATGATGTGATTGTCCACGCCCGACATGGAACATTAGCGGTAAGATTGCACATTTTTACCCCATTGAAATGGTGCACCACCCTCCGGAACCGCGCCGTCATAGCGGTAAATCACCAGAATCTCCGCTGTAAAGGCCGCAATGACGCGGAACCAACACGTTTGAAATGCAGATCGGGCTCGAGTTGCAGTCCTTCCAATTGTACTTCACTCTCGACCTTTTGAACACCGCTGGAGACGGGATTTTTATGGCCCCATCAGTCATTATAATGTTATATGGTTCTCTCTCACTCAATGTATCAACTCGGCAAGACCGCTGAAAACAAGCTTAAGGTGTCGGACTGCCTTTGAGAAATGTACCGTTTCAAGCTGCTCCGCATGAGGTGGCGTAGAGGGTAATGTATTTGTCATTTTCGTCGTGACGGGAAAGAGTTAACTTTAGTTTTCAAAAGTTTGCTTTTCTCGGTGTTCTGCCAGTGTTGCACTTTAATAAATGCTGGGCCCTCCACCTCTTATACCACCACTAAATCCTATACGGATAGTGAAAGTTATAAGTTATAGCGCTACAAGTTTTCTTTCCAGACAAAAATAACGACGTATCAAATCTTGAGCCGTCCATAGAGTCGTTACACTTGTGCAGAAGAACCCCACTTACGCCCAAAGTCCCTACAGTATAATTGCCTTCCCCTTATCTTCTAGCACCATACTCTGCACAACACATGGCTTCAATGGGAGAGAAATATGGCCGCTCTAAAACCGTCACTTTGACGAATGTAAGTATTAGTTCTCTGGGTAGTAAGTGGCATTTGGTGCGACACGTAACATACGGAACGTTAATCTACCCATCGGTCTTGCACGTTTCCTCCGCCCGGAGAATGGGAAAAGCGGCGAGATTACACGTCCAAATGGCGAAATGCTAGCACAGAATCCTGCTATCCTACTAGATAAGGCTTGCAGGAGGGGTAAAACTGGACCACTCATCCATCTTGGTAGTCGCATTTCCTTTCATGTTAATTACCTCTCCCCGGCTGTAAAGATTATATTGTCAGGACGGAACGCGTGTTCACACGAATTAATGAGAACATCATCCACGCTATCTTGTTCTGCTACTATCGTGCCGGCCATGCGGGAAACTAATAGGTGACTTTGGTGGGCTTCTCCTTCCGTTAGCCATTTGTCAAGCGCTGGATTTCTTCATTTCATAGTCAATTTACCTCCGCACCGTACGGAATTTGTTTTACCTAGTTCATTGTTTCACTCCCGGCGAAATTCAAGTTTCTTTGTTAGACATATTCGTTTGCTTGACGTTTTCGTACTTATTGCCCAGTTTCTCATGCTATGCCACTAGCTTTAATTTAGATTGCAAAAGTGCATTTTGCAATTATTAGTACAATTGATAGACGCCACTTTGGGCTGTGGAAGTTCTTTCGCAACTTCATGAACTAATTACTTTATGCCCACTAACTACTTTATACCCACTGGATAGTCTCGTACGTACATGCACAACTATGCCAAGTAATGCATCTGATGAAAGGTTTCATCGCGCGAATTCATTCACTTCCTAATACCATGTATCCGTTTCGTTATTTGAGCCAAAAAGTCTCCGTGCCAACTCAAGTCATCCTAACTCAAGATTATTAATGTCATAAATCTAATTACGATCCTTTATTAGATAAGAGAACGGATGAAGATCAGAGGACATGTCTGCCACAACCTTCCCCTCACGCCTGAGCGCGCACGTGTGGTGTTCTGTACCGTCTCTCCGCCTGGCTGAACCCGCTTCGTTAATCATCGCCGCTGGGAATTGTTTAAAGGTCTAAAACTTATTATCAAACTTCAGATCACTACCGAGTTCACAACAGCGCAATCAATATTCATATTAGAACTTTGTGTCCTTGGCATTCTCCCACCGATAGTTACAGAATCTGCTGTCGTCTGCTAATTTGACTGTTAGCTTAGCGTGGCATTCATCTTACTTACCATTGTGTTAGGCAATTACACAAGTGTTGTTACAGAGTTGTTGATAACCCACGGGCGTGGGAACCATTTTTTTGTGTCACCGTAAGAACTTTGTTGTAGAAAATGAGACAGTAACGCAGTTAAAAACCTGAAGTGATTCATGGTGGGAGGGCGGATTATACACTTACTCGGACAAGACAGTAGAAGTACAACAGACTACCTGAATTTTCTCAAGGTTCTTTATTAACAAGAAGAAAACATACTTTGTGATTAATGTGCACTGTACATTGACCAGTAGGCTGTCTTTAGTGTTTTAGACATAACGACAAATATCATCGTCACGTTCCTCGACCCAACGCGGAAACTGCGGATGGTACAAGCTGCAGGACCTGACTTACAGTACGTTCTCGTTGGTATGTACATATTATCGTCATAAAACACGGTAAAGCGATGGCATGGATGTAAACGTAATGTTCTAGAAGCTGCGTAAGGACGACTTACAACAAGCTGTTTTATTAGGGGCTCTGTGTTAATGGAATCAGCTAAGCTTCATTGTGCCATAGACATCAATAAAGCGAGGTCTAACATATTGCTTTGGTCGCTCAAACTGTGGATGACAATCTGGGGGATTAGATGTGGTCCATAAAAGTGCTTCTGGCGTCCATTCTACCTCAGGTGTTGTGACATACTGCTGGGTAGTGATGCTGTCAGCTGATGGTATCGTGGGGAATGTCTTTGTACATTTTAAAGGCGTCTCAGGAGCTGGCTGTACCCCACGGTCTAGCGTGGGTCTGGTGGGCGCCACTGCAGGAACAGGGATTAGAGATACGATTAGTTTAACAGCACGTCTGGGATGACAAAAAATTTGTAGTTCTTGAATGTCTCGGCTTTTGGTTTAATGGCTTTTAAGCAAATACAATGGGAGCTGCTTCCAATGAGATGATTTGTGGATTTTCCTAAATCGTTCTACTACAGGCTCAGTTGGAATTTAAAGGGTCGTGAGGAGAAACGAAATATGAAATCAAATTATGTATAGTGATGTCCTGCAACGTTTGAACCGAGGAGGATAAAAGTGAAATGTATTTGGTGTGCTTAGTTAAAACGCAAGTCATAGCGAAGGTCCGAACTAAAGAATTTCACTTAATACATCACTGAATGTGATATAAAGAAACTGCATGTAGGCTATAAAACAGACAAACAAAATAGATTATGATGACACAACTACAGAAACTCTGCTCCTGTACCCACCTCCACTACGACCAGCTCGGGTGTTGATCTCCGTGAGTAGGCGTGGATGATCCACGCTATCGCCACGACAACAATCACCACGGCAACCAGTATCCCAATGATCACCTCGGTCTCCAGCGCCTGCGCAGACCGGAATCTGCGCACGACCTGGCTCGGCTCGCCTGCGTCCGCCATCTTGACGCTCGATTTACTGTCCTTGATCTTTTCGATATTTTGCACGCGGCTGGATTTGGGGTTAACCACTTGTAGAGGCCCGTCTAAGTTATCTCTTGTCCCTGCGCTTAAGTCATCTCTTGTGCCTGCTTCCAGGCCTCCCCTAAGTCCTGCTTCTTCTACCTCGTCCCTCCCAGTGTAAGACACGTCTAAGGCTTTAGGTGGGCGTGGTGGTGGGGGTTCCTTTGGCTTTGACGAGGTTGTTAACGTTTCTGGTGGCAGCGTTTCCTCTTCGCACTTCTTGGTCACTGCCTGCGACGAAAATGTGAAATACGATTGCATCATACCATGATAAATAAGGACTGCGTAAACATTAAATTTGAAATGCATATTTCAAGATGTGCAAATTTTAAGGAAATTGTGAGTTAACCTATCCAAATGTTACAAGTCGGCAATACGGAAAAGATGTAGAGAGGCAAAAGTCTTCGGTACCTCCTGGTCACATCCAGCATCCACCCATTGTTGTCTCTTGCGGTCATATCCATCCGAGCACCTGTGAAAGGTGAGAAACGGTTAGCACTAGTTCCTAAATCTGCCATCTCTCTCTCTGTCTCGTCCAACATGTTGGGGCTACAAATAAATAAGGTGCCTAAACAGCCGTATCGTGGATAAAACGTAGTTATTAGTTTCTACTCATTACTTCGTCACTGGTTTGAATGACGACTTAGCGTGTCCAGTGGTTTAATAGCGACCCTGCCTCTGGACCAAGGTGTTGGGAGTTCGAATCCTGGCTGTTGTCGCTCACGTGACATGTACGCTACTGGAAAGGGTTGCAGTTCTCAGGGCGCTACGTTAAGCTGTGTTCCACTGTTCATTGTGCTTGTCGAAATTCGAAAAGAGAGTATTTTTCTGGTACAATGAATCTGTAAATACTGTACATAGCGTATGTCTTCTCTGCCATCTGGATCGTGATCACTTTCTTTTCAGCAGGAGCAAGGGATACACTGAAGAAGTTCTGTAGGTACGCAATATTTGTAAGACGCTAACCTAAAGAGAGGTGGAGCAATCTCAAGCCCTTTATATATTTCATCAACGCCCATTTGTTGATAAGAAGGCTATTATACATCTGAAATTACTAGTAAAACATCGAGCACAAGTCCAGCCCGTTCATGCCATGAAGAGGGTAGATGGACATAAACCAGTTTGACTCTGCATGAGCGGCATCAATGGAAATACGTTCAACTTCCTGATAAGCCCTATATTAGGCTGCTGACCTTTTAAAGTGGTTTTCTCTACAAGTCATAGGACTTGAACGGAAACCACAGAGGCGATACATCATAAGAGGGAAAGTAAAAGGTTGCTTAATGCTTGACCCATGTCTTTGAAAAGATGTGCATCCTGACGATAAGGGCTACAGGGCATTTTAATAGTGTTTCAAGCATGTCTACCGGACTTGAGTGCGATCTGGCGGTATTGCAGACAAAGCTGGCATATCGCCGGTAGAATGTAGAGGAATACTGCGCACGATTTGTAGCCCATATCCTCCTGAAAGGTTTCCTGGCCGCGGGTTAGTCTGTCGGCTCTTGAGAGCGTCTGAAGAAAGTGGATACGGCCATTAAGGCACTTTAATGTGATCGTAGGTGCGCAAACAGAGTTGGCGGTTTCTTCAGAAACGCGTAAAGTGTTTGAACTTTTCCCGGTTTTAGTGTCCAGGAGGAATGTTTTTTGTGTGGGCTGTAGGCAGACATGGGTCAGAAAGGGTAACTCCCGGTGGTGTAATACCCGAGATTATGCGGCAAAGACGGCCTGAAGCGATACAAGTAAGGCCAGACCTTTTCACATGTACCTGGTAAGTCATGAAAAGAGAGCACCAAGTCGGCGTCATGTTATTCTCTGGCCGATCATCAAACTCTGGCCTTTGATCTAAATGAAAACACTCTCTGAATAATTTAGTGCAAGTAGCAATCCTGCTCTACGTTCAAAATACACTTAACAATAACCTGTGCTATTATCGTAAAATGTTGCTAGAACTCAGCTTGCAGTGGTATCAGATAATAACTGGCGTTATAAGTGTCAAGGATGTTAGATTATGAATATTTCACTTTCTCATAACCCCTTTATCATGCTGTCTAGATTGTAATACATGTGTATCAGTTATTTTACATTTCTCAGCATGTTATTGATTATTGAATGACTCACATTTTGACGGCGGCGCACCAGCCGCACTGGAAGCCTATTCTCCCGCTCAGACAGCTCCAGCAGTCCGTGAACAGGCTACAGGCTGCAACAACACATCCGGCATTTTATATCTCCGCAAAATAGTTCAAGTTTTTTTGTGTGGATATCTTATTCACACGGTAACTTTTACTTACTATATAGTCAACAGCAATGGTTTTGAAAACAAAAAAGCAATAACTATCACATTTTGCTCATCTCATTACCTAGATACCTAATCTTTATCGAGGAATATTATTGTAAATTTCTTTGCCTCTCTATGCATTTCCCCACTGGCACCCGGCCAGCAGACTCTGCTGACAATCACGGGATACCGTATAAAGATAACCGAAATGGATCATAAATTGGGAACAGAAACCGCTAATTTGGTTTCAAACGTGTCTAACAAAACACATACAGTTCAGTTGTTTTCACAAAGCAACACTTCAAAAGAAACACGGAGCCATAATCAATATTTCATGCCACATACACAACGTTGGGTGGTTTCAAACCTCTCAGAGTTTATTGCATTTCAAACAGCTCTCTTTGCGAGTTTCAACGTCAGAGGTACTTACTTGGGAGTGGAGATAAGAGGAAGGCCGAGCGACTTTTGACCTTCTGTAGCTGGAGGTCCAGGGTGTGATACTCGTATACTGTCTTTCTGTGTACATCTGGGGGCACGAGAATGTACAACCGGTCTTAGAGTCAAGGTCGGTTATAAATCTTAGAAGGGAAACGCTTACAATGTAAAGGGTCATCTTAGGATAGGTATGATAATAGTGCCTTGTGTATAACTAGACATAGGTCGAAGATGGCATCGTCTCTCTCTATGACAGCTTTTGTTAGCTTAACATTCATGAACAATCATGAATACTTTGGGTTAAAAATATATTAACCACCAACACAGACAGATTTTAGGGCTTTCACGTTCTACGCCATCGTTACAGATAATGATGTGAAAAGCCACATAGGTTTGACTATCCATTAATGGAGGATAGTGAGTAACAGATGAAGTGTAAGTTGTAAGATTCCGTACTTGCGATGGGAAGAAGCAGGATGTCGACTGTGTAGGCATCAGATATCCCCATCCGTACCGGGTAGGACGAGTCGTCTATGCGGGACGTAGGGATGGGAACCTGGGACAGGAATATAGATGCAACATTAAAGCAACAACAACCAAAGATGCGTTTTTAATCCAAGAAAAAAGAACCTGTCCTTTCATATGAATAAACTCAATGAAATTCTTAGATTTTTTAAAATTCATTTATTGGTTTGACAATCATAGTCTGGGCTACCAGACTAGCTAGCAAAACTGTTGTTAATGGCTTAACTTATGATTATGATTCATTTTAGGTATATACTCAGGAAAGTTAAGTTCCAGAAAAGTTTAATTCTTGCGTATTTTGTTCTACAGCTTTGCTTTAACTTTGTTTGCTCATTATTAGCGGTGTCTGCGATCGCTGATTGCTTTGTATTGTAAAAGTTATATTCGTTACTTCACTTTTAAAATAAAATAGATAGCAGACGAAAGTGAAGGTGACATCTAGTTCCCCAAGCGTGCAGTTGCACATGCCAGAGCATCATACGCGATGCCGAAATGCATATGAAAACAAATCCCTAATGTCTTTGATAATTCAAAAGCACTTTGGAATTGATCCAACTCCTGATGAAGCTTGACACTTACTGTACCCAATCAAGATACCACCGTAAATTGTGCTGCGCCCAAGGCATTTTATTATAGCATGCTTGTGATGCAATTATGTTCTATTGAGGTTGCAAGGGGTTAGTTCAAGGTTTTTCTTCACTTCGGGCAAACTATTGTTTCCTTTCACGTACGCCGGTCGATGTGAAGTTTTCCGAATTGTGTTGCAGTTCATGGATTCACATGAGCTTTATCCTTACATCAACTAATGTGAGCAATAGAGAAAAACAATGGTTTGTATCTTCAAACCTCTTTATAGACAAAGATGATTCGTCCATCGCTGCACAAGGTCACTTGAAAAGTGAAGGATCCAGCTGCAAGAAAAGGGACGCATTTTCTGTCACTCAAGCTTGATATATGATAAAACACTACAAATGCCAATGGTTGCTGTGTCATTTCCGGAAAACAGATCTTCGAGTGAAACTATGACATATGCTATGCCAAAAAGGAGTTACTCAAGCAACTGGATATAATTTTTTAAACGGTCAGACGTCTCAGCTAGCATCCATATCCATTGCTTGAGTAACTCCTTTTTGGCGTATCTTATTACCTGGATGACTAACCTTCATCGACGTATGGCATATGCTAAGCACTATAGAGTGGATATGGCTTTTTGCACTGGTGCGCATCGTAAGCAACAATAATTGACCTATAATCATGACCTACATGTGCTAGTATGTGTCCCAATGTGGGTTACCTACTCACCATCTACATTGTCCTCCAGCCGAACTCTGAACCACTCTACCGTTAATGTGGACCCTGAAATATAAACAGAACATTTTCCGTGAACAGATACACCAGGTTGGTGAACCATAAACAACGGGCTAGGTTTAAGTTTTAGCATTCAAACCTTACCCAGACCGCCAACCAACTGGCTGAAGTTCGGGAGCAGTCTGACCAGATTCCAGCCACGCCTACCTTTCCATAGGAATATAATCGAAATTGAGTCAAATTTGACAGTACGTCTTCGGGAGGCCATATTCGGCTGTGTGTTACAGGCGTAACAGGGGGTTAGGTTACCCTTCACATACCGTTCTCGAGGTCTATAGAGATTGTTTTAGTCTATATAAAGGGGAATACAACAATGTAGCAAATGATCTATAGAATTGCCCTCTTCTTAAGATTTATTCACCAGATTGTAACAACACACAACTAAAGGACTGAAATTGTGCCATTCTATCTGGTGTCAAGCAGGGAGGATGAGCAGGACTGACTTATATATATATACTTACTTACTTACTTAGTTCCTCCCGTGCGAAGCACATTGGACAGCAATTTTCTTCCACTTTGTTTGATCTTTGACCAGATTTTCAGCATCCGCCAATAGCAGCCCGTTATTTTCCAGGTCTTTTTGGATAGTGAGTAGGCCTATCTGACCTTCATTCCATTTCGCTGAACCCAATGCCTTCAGAATGCCGAAACAATATAATATGATCTAACTTCAGCCAGCATAAAGCGAACATCACAAAGATGGATAACTTTATTGAATGCTACTTTCGGCGGGGCTAGGGGCTTTGATGGCCTAATATTTCCAGGCGCCAGGCCAATTTCAAGTCAGGGTCCCAAAATGAACTGCCATTTTACCAGATTTCACGTAGACTATTGTCAGGGTTTCTTATTCCTGTGATGCATTCTAATAATGACCGACTGCACCTCGGGCCATGCCCAAGTCTTGCGACTGATGGCTGGCTTATCCCGATCGCCGAGCCCTTAAGCCCGGGGTGATCCAGGCAACGTGCAATTTATATGAGGAGTCACGTCCTGAACCTTCCATCCGTCCTGCGCTACATGGTTATTTTTCTGGATATGGTCAAAGGATAGAGACTATCACCACATACACACCCAAATAGCTGACCATATGTGGTACACGCCTGGTCCTTTATCTGGCCTATTCTGAGTTTCATTGTCAGGAATGGTATTGTATTGTACTCGGGGAGTCGTTCAAGCTTTCTGCATTATAAACCGGCACACCCATATGATGTAGTCTTTGAATTCTTGGGATAAGGCATTGGGGTGAGCAAAGAGAAAGAAAGCCAGATCTTCTCGTTCACCCTCACATCTTAATACATGCTAAAACGGCTCATTTTTAGTCCTTCGATTGTCTTTTCTACTCGTAATTGTTACAACTCGGTTAATAGGAAGCAATGATCCTTTTAAGTCTTCTTGATTTCTTTATCTAAGTTGGGAAGTTGGATGCTGTGTGAGACGTCGTATAGCTTTCTGCATGATAAATCGGCACATTCCTGGTCCTTCCAACACAGACGACGTTTGTTATTCACGCCGCATCAACCCCTCCCTCCATTTAATGTGTCAACCTCCCCGGCATCCCCACGGGGCCGTTTAGAGAAGCACTTTCCCGGCGCCAATGAGATGGAAAATGGACAAATCGACAGGATAACGGTTCTATCCACCTCTTGGCCCCCACGGTGACCCATAACTGTCTCAGGTGATTTAAGGAAGGAGACACAGTCTCCGAGACATCGTCCCCATTCTGCCAGCAGGTAAGGTCTGAGAGATAACAATTACATCGCTAAAGCTGTGAGGGGATCGGGGTGAAGGATTTAATGCCGCCTTCATGTGTTCTTGATGTGATGTACGGTGGGTGAGGGGGCATTAGCGCCGTCATGTATCACTCCTAATTACAACTCTGCCACGGAGAGTCCCACAGGTGATCGCGATAGATGGTCAAACCACTACTTCAATCAAGTGCTGGATTTCTTCTCGTAAGTCACTAAGTATCTGGAGTTGTGTACGAAATATTCAAGAAGTTTGGTGTACAGCCAAGTTCTAATAAAAAGTCCTTATACTTCAGAAAAAATATATGCAGAAGAAACAGGAATCATGATAAAATCCATTTCGTTTATGAAATGTAATTACAGTCATTATTGATCAAACACGATCATGTTTCATCCCCGGGCATGCCTGCGGACTACGGTAATTTTTTTTTATCAAAAGATTTATCCGTTCCTAAATTGCCCATTGATCGGGTTGGCCTTGCTGCAGTAATTGATTTCTATCGACATGCTGTAATAGAATCCGTCCTATGAGAATGATGCTGCCCAATTTGACTGACAAAAAGGGTTAATATATGAACTTTGTTTTAAATCCCCAAGCCCAATCACTCGCTGGGACGTAGATTTTAGTTTTATCAGACTCAAGTATAAATTGATCACTACGCTAATTTCTAAACTAGAGCCTTACCGTTGTCTCTATACCGTACTGCAGACATGGGATCTAACGTGGCGTCAAAGTTGGCCATGAGCGGTGCGATGTACTGGGTGGAGGCCATAGACTCCATCAGGAGAGACCCAATGGAGAGAAACCCTGTAGGGCACAAACAGTAGAGAGTTTGCATACCTGTAACAAAGCTTGGCCGCTATCAGCATCAATTGATTTGCGTTAGAAGCTTTTCGACCTTTTGGCAGGTTGCTCAAACACGGGCATGGTGTTTTATCTGCACCTTTCATCTCAAAGTCCTAATCTACAGGATTTCTGCTTGGACAGGTTTCCAATTTCACGTTATTTGACTATCAACGTGGCATCTTGAAGTCCTCGATAAAAAGGTGATGTACTATGACCACGGGTATGGCGTCATCACCAAATAGTAGATCGTAATCTTGACGTTTAGAACCTCGGCGAAAGTTCGCATCGGAGACCTTTACCTTCCATCGCGATGGACACGTTTCTGATGGGATGGCCATAGAAGGGGAAGTCAAACGACGTTCTGATGCTCTGTAAAAGACAAGAGCGAACTTACAGAAAGATTTATCATAAAACGAGATGGCATTCCTGCCCTTGTTACACGCGATTCCAAAATGCAAGGCAGAATACACTTACATTGTCATATTTTCAAAAAAAGCTAGTAAATACAATCATAGCAATTATGGTTTATCTTGAAAGGGCTAGGTAATTGAAATTAAACATACCAAAAATCTTATCTATGGTATTCATATTGCTTATTTTCAGTATTCTACATTTAAGATAATCATTATTTTAAAAAATACGTGTACTGTTATCGATACATCACAGAGCTGCTATTCTCATCACGTATTCTACAAGTCACCTCTGAAAAGTGGTTTCTTACTTTATCCTGCACTTCAGTTTCCGGAAGCCCCGTGGCAACGGTTACCCAGCGTTCCCCGGGGTCGAGTTCTACCCAGAATCCTCCTCCGGGAGGGTACGATGGGATGTAGATGGGCTGGTAATATTCACGGCGGCTCTAGAGTCAAACAAAGAATGGAAAAGGTGACAAAAACTTATCAGATTTCAATTTGTTTGCAAAGCATAATTTGTGAAGTTTAACTCGTCTGTGACGAGGAGCTTTGTTCAAGGCTTAGAAATAATTGAGTTTCTCGACTCCGGTTGAACTTGGCCTGCAATAATTTAAGTATGAAAGAAACTGCCAGGTGTTATTACCCTCGTATCATGCTTCCCAATTAAAATCATGACTTTTTCACTCCGGCACGTCAATTTCATGTCTCCCGTCGTACCAGCTGCGTGTTGGGGTCGAGAAGAAATGATTGGGTGTGCGATCTTCCCCATGTATCATCCGGGATCTCTTTCATCCTTCCCGTCATCCTTTGGGACGTTTCGGAAATTACATCCTGACAGACGACACTCGTGTGCCCCGGGCTCCACGTCTCGCACGTACTTTATTGCCCCGGAGGAAACCCCCATGTAATATGCATGTTTACGGCGCATCTATACCACTGGGAATTGGAATTAGAACCTCGTCGTATTAATCCTAACGCTTGGCATCGGTCCAAGGTACAAGGTGAACACCAGGCATACATTACGTTTCTCACATGTGTAACATTTTAGGTCTTGGAAGGCGAAGATTACTTATGGGGAATTCCCAGCTTGTGTGTTTTACGATATTAAAGTTTGCAGCTGTGAGAAGTGTACCATAGGTTAATACAAATAAAGGACGTCCCGTCAAAGTAATAGTCGGCGCCGGCCTAGATTTGATTATATCTGGCCATATATTTTAACAGGAATATGGCGATCTTTAATCTTTGCGGCCCAATGTATTCCGATGTCCTTCAAGTGACCTGGATGTTCTGATCACACGAGGGTTACCTTTAATTCGTCCTTTGGCAAAGTAAACCACGTGGTAACAAGATACTGACTGATAAATTAGTTACTGCTGCGGACTCGAAAGAAATAGTATGTGCGTGTTTGTGTGTGTATGTATATGTATAGATATATATGTGTGTGTGTGTGTGTGTATATGTGTGTGCGTGCGTGCGTGCGTGTGTGTATGTGTATTTTAGCCGTTAGTTTGACCACCCCAGTCCATGCATCAATGTTAATATCTCTTGTCAGTAAAGGTCAAAGCGGAACTGGGATGTCATGCAACACTTCAGTCATGCTTCTCCACTCTTATTACTTCTTCCGTTTCATCGTGTCGGGTTGGCAGATTCGGGTCAAGGCTAGAAAGACAAATATCAGATGTCAGTTGAACGAATATATGTGAACTATGGTGATGTATCCATTGCCATCAGCCGACTCATTTCGATGTTTCTGATTGAGGTTTCTGTGAATAATATAAACTAACATCAGTATGTATTTGGGCCATAGAGCGTATAGTAATCCAGTAAAGGATGGCTTAGTCATGTTCGAAAAGCCAGGAGGGCACAGAAAACCCATTTCATTCAATCATCCGCCTGCACCTTATGTAACGTTAGACTGATTCACTGACCTGAATGATGCGCCATATATGTACTCAATGTATCTCTGCTATCTATAAAAATTATGTAGAAGATGTGTATTTCACGGTATACGGTCCTTGTAACTTGAAACCAATGCCATATATGACATTAGATATTTTGCCTATATCTTAAGTTTCCGAAAATTATCATATCAGCTGGTCTGAAAAAGTAGCAAAATTGCCGTATAGTCTTATTCAAATTCATAAGAGCAACGGCTCTCACATGCGCGTTTGGACAGAGGACGTCAAGACCCTATGCTCTTTTGCGTCAACCAAGTCAAGGTCACGCATTGGGGTCAATATCATATCGCTTTGGCAATGGCCGCCTCTTGATCGGGAATCCATAGATGTGATTAGCTTCAATCAAGGATATTGCAGGGCATGGAAGCCGTGTTGTAGGAAAGTATGATATCGGAAGGGCTATATCAATAGTTTTTTCTTCAATTTTTGATATAACATATTCATTTGGTTGTCGATGTGCTCACCTAGTGAGGGGACGTGAGGACAAGCTAGCCTGCATATTCCAGTAGAGCCTGTCTCTGAAAGAGGTCGTGGGCTCGAATCCCACACGGCTGTTGTCGGTCCCAATTGCACGCTGCTGGAAAGGGCCGCAGTCTTGAGTCATTTGATCTTGTCTAAAAGTTCTAGCCTAAAGGGTAATTTCCCCGGTACACCAATGAACCTGCAAATAACGGTACACACAGCGTCTGTCTGCTATGCCATGGTCAGCCTAAGAGTAGTTCAACTGTTCATCGAGTTCATTTGAGGTAAATAACCTTCAGCTACCTCTAGCTCTGTCGACGCTGCCTCATCTTTACCTATCTCCTCCAGTTTATTCCATGGCACTTTATTGGGCCTTTATCCGCTATTTTTAGCTACTGAAATCCCTACGTATCTCTTATTGTATAGTCACAAGCAACATTGCTTCAAGAATCAATATCGGTGTAATGTGGTCCACGGGAAGTTAAATCTCCTAACATTCTTCAGTTGGTCTATACATGTAGTAGCCACACAGTCATAAGGCAGAGCTTTTGATTCTAGTGTGGGTTGTGCGAAAGTACCATATGATACAGCAATACGGCTTCAGACAAGCCTGAGGCCGCCTGGAGATCAGCCCCTCTGTAAAATTGCCTTCCTTCCATTTCCGTACGTCGGGATCGATACAAATTTCATTACATATTTGCAGAGTGATCGTACTGGAACTGACCAGAGGGGATAAAAGGGGAGTGGGCCGGGATCGAAAAGGCTCCGATTGGTTTGATTTCAATTTTCTCTCTATAAACATCTTGGCCAACCAACCCTTTTCATATAACAATAATTTGGAGCCCCTCTCTTTTTATGTACTGTTGTAATCTTGGCTTGATTTCTGTACTTCTGAACCTTTCGGGTGCACGTTTTAACCTTCATTTTATACATTTTCAAATGTATAAATGTGTACATTGAGACTATGAAGTTCAAGTTAAAATGAAAATAAAAGAACGTTCGCTTTACTCTGTGGACAATATAGTAGCAAACGCCAAAAGAATTTTGTCTTTAACGCTTAATGTTAATTTGTCTTCAATCTTAAACCTTTGATGTTTTTGACCAATGGAGTTCCTCAAATAAACATTCCATCTGTTTTTTCCCGTGAGTGTTTCCCAATGTGAGAACACTGATGCCTTCCCTTCACCCGGGGGCCTCCGCTATAGATCGGCTGAATCGTTCTGACATCCTTGACTGCGCGTTAGGTCCAGCGATTCCTCCATGGTGACTTATTCAGACAGGTCGTACCCCTGAATTGGCTGATACAATATTTAGAACGATCAGACTTCAACACGGCACGGCCGTTGTGTAATAGTCCTCTCGGAGAGGTAGATTCAATATTTATACCGGTACCACTCACGAAGGCACTTATAGAGCGAGAAGGGCTTTGTAATGGACTTCTCTGTTTTATGAAGGGATAGGTGAAGTGCTGATGCAATTTGACGTCTGCCCAAAAGGGATGAAGGCAACCCGCACAATATTGGCGTCCGTCTAATAGGCACGGAGATGCAAGTTTAAAGTTTTCCTTCAAATGGAATAACTTTTTGCATTATTTGTTGTATCAGCTTCTAAAGTTTTTACTGGTTAAGCACCATAAGTATGCACATCATATTCAATACTGTGTCAGGCAGAGATATATTACAGTAGTCTGCTTCATAGATCAACTTGAATAGATTAGACATGTTCAAGTAGTTGCTTAGCAGCATTTAAAGCTAATGCATATACTTAACGCGGTGCTTAACGTACATGCGGCTGAAGGAGAATGCCAGCTTTTAAGTGGTAAAAACCCATATTACAGGAATACGGTGCTTAGATGTTCTATGGTGCTTATTATCATACATTAGCATTATCTGCATTACAGTCATTACCGTAGCTATTACTGTAATCGCCAGGGTTGTTCAACCTACATAACTAAACGTTGTCAGTTTTGATTGATATAATAACTGAAGGGGAAAACATGGTGAGTATACAGATAAAATTGTACCGTGTGGTTTGGTAACTAACGACCTTCTGTTGTATAACTGTATGAAATACTGCCTATCGATTTTCGCATCCGTCAGTCGTTGTAGGCGTGGTTCAAAGGTACTAAGCATCATACTTAGGGCATATTGAAAAATAGGCGTATTACACACATTATAGGTCCAAACCTAATTTTCCAAGACAGATGATCAAATAAACGTTACGATAAGATGTACGACAGTACATGGAGTCTGTGCCGCTATTTTTCAAGTTTCACTGCAAACTTTCTCAACTATAAGCGTCCATATGTCATTGACTGGGTTCTTTTTTTTTGAGATACCAAGAAAATATTACAGACTCGGAAATGAATTCACACGCATAGAGAGATGAATAAAAAAACAGAGGCATACATAGAGGAACGCACATGGCTCAGAAAGAAAATGATAGAAGTACAATTGTAGTGATATTTTTATATCCGTTATTTTTAGTACGTACCTCCACGTTACTGTCGTTCTCTTGGGGAGGGAGGCTGTCTTCCGGGAATGTGGCGGCAGATCTCGCCTCCAGTCTCGGCACTCCACCTGATTACAGACAAACACAATCATATGTATAGTCCCAGTGATGCAAACATACCACTGAAAAATACAATTTAACATTCAACATCTCTCTCTGTCCCTCCCTTTCTCTATTCATATATATAATGGATGAATATTGGCGTACTTTTGATGCAGTTAATTTGGGTAATACCAAAGTTTTAAAAGTCAAACGAACTTTCCAAAAGTATGATAATCTATAACTGCTGAGATTGATATTTCTTTGAGGCGGCAGGTTGAAAGGCTTATCGTGGATCATTGTAGTTTAAACTTGAGCTTACTTCTAATATGAATTATTTATCTAGCATACTTTATTCATTTTTTTTCTGATCGGAACATCAAAGAACAATGGATTAGCTTGTTCTTGCGCTACCTGTGCCAGATAGTGGCCAAACGTACTACTGCTTTATTGGCATCGGTGACACAGAGCGCCGCTTTCAGTAACCTTGTCACAGAAGTTTCCTAATGCTGTTTGACGAAGATGAATTGCTCCGGTGCCCCGTCTGCTCACGTCGGCTTTGCCTGAACCCCTCACGCCTGGGAAATGGCAGGAGCTCGACGTGATGCATGGTGCCGACCTTTCCGTCTGGCTGTGATGTATGACCGCACTGACGTAAAGGTAACGGTACTCACAGGGAGACAAAAGCCGCACCGACGCAACTGGAAATGTCTTCACCCTGGTCTTAATAACAACGCGCTCTCCAAGGAGCTGGAAACATTCCTCACGAAATGTGGGTCATTTCACAAAAGTGCACAAGCGCCCTTTGAGAAAATTTGTTAGTCTCACAAGAAATGGCACCAAACTCGCGATATTTCTGGGGACCTGACTTTTCCGCACACCGTAGGGGCGACTTGTTACACAGCGGGTGGGCCGGCTGCTGCAGCTGATTCGCGTCCTGATTGGAGTAAGTCGAATCAGGTCTGACGTGTGACATATTCAATGAAAAGAGGGCATGCATTTTTTACTACAGCCTGCGTTTGATGGTAATTCGTAGGGACAGCTTGCAACTTGTCGGTATGCTCCCCGGTCACTCCCCCTCCTGGTTATAGACCTGAATACCAATTCATTAATGGCGGTAGGTGCTTAAATCATTAATATGAATGACTGTTCTATGAAGAGTGAGGAACTTTTTCTTATCGTTTTGTTCGTCATTTTCTAATCATCGTTCGTCATTGAACATCATCATCAATATTCTAACAATTTCTGACACACTGTTTAAATAATTTCTATAGGTTTAGCTATCATTATAGTACCTTTATGCATTTTTCATCGGTCGTTGCACCATCGGAATTTCTTAAAAGCGAAATGCATCGTTGATTTTTACCTGCTAAATATATTTCCCCCACACCTCGTCTTACTGTCTGGTGATAAAAATCCTTGCCAAGGAACAAAATGCAAGATGCCCTCGTTAAACTTTAATGCAGACGAAACACATCTACATAAAGTAGTCAATCGCAGAGATACAAAGCAATCGAGACTTTACAATGATGTCGTGACCAGAAAAAATGCCATTAAAAGATCTAACGATTTTTATGGTTGACTTACTCGAGGACTTTGCCTTAAGCTTTAGACATGAAAGTTATCGATTGTTTAAAGTACGCGTTGAGAGAGGGATGGTCGTAATCTCATCAGCTTAACATGTGGCTGGTATTGTAGTGGGTTGGCATGGTTATATGTCGCTGCTTTTCTTAATCAGCTACTGTCAATTCCCTTCTCTGTGTAACTTTCGGCACTCTGTGTGCCAGGTATTGACTCTGTGTATGGTTACAAGACGCTTTGGGTTCTTCTTTCGGGTTAACGATGTACACATTTTCCTTTCAAGATGGAAATTGAGACCACCCCCTCCCTCCTTTTCATGTAGAAAGTCTTTCTTCAACTCTTCACCTCTGGGTTAAAACTCTTCTTCAGTCTGCATCTTTATTAGTTCATAATAAAATTAACGAGTACATTATGCGCTGCGACCGAGATAATATTCTTCCTCTGTTCTGAAGATTCTAATCGGTCAAGCCATAATTTGACCGTGAAAGAGCACCAAGCATCGCCTTATTGATTCATCTTAATGCAATGGTTGACAGCGTCATTAGTCTAAGCTTTTTGCGACGTTAGGGTATTTTATCCATGTCGAAAACTGTGTCTCATTCTCACTCAAATGTCCACTTATCTTAGCAGTTGCCAAAGTCATCTTGCATGGCGATATGCCCGTTACAGGAATAGAGCCAGCCTGGTCATAGTTTCCAGTATCGAAAGATAATTAAAGCAGTGGAATCTGCTTGAGTCTTATATATTCACGCCGTGCCCCGGCTGGTACGTACGTGCAGTAAGAACAGTAATCCTGCTCAATTGCTCTTCTTGTATGAAGACTTTCAGACGTTTTTAGATCCGCGGATGTCTCGTAGTTTTATCGATCGGAAGTATCGATTGAGACGGTTTGAAGTTTGAAGTCGCCTTGGGGCAAAGTCGGCACTCTCTTTTTGATGTTTTCTCTCCCCACTGTCCATTAATTTCCAGTACGAGGGTATTGCTTCAAATAGATGAATTTTCCAGGTAATTTAAACAGCGCTCAAGTGGAAAAGACACTTATTTAAACCGCAAAATCCTAACTGCGTGGGGACCTCGAGATTCAACCACCCATTCAACCACGCAATATCCGAGGAAAATGGCAAAGTAGTGCTTCAATTTTATATCTAGCCCACTTAATATGATAGTTAAAATAGAATACAGAAGTTAGTGGTGCTAGAGCTACAGGAGACTCGTTCAGTATATTAGTATATTTTCAGGACTACGAAATATAATAAGAATTGATATTTGTATAGCAGATCAGATTCTGCGTATATCCTAACTTCAGTATGCTTTAATCATAAATGAAAGAAAGCGAATGTCTGGGAAGTTTCCAATTCTGAATCGCCCTGATGAAGATGGCAGAAGGCCATCGAAACCTCGGCTGTGGTAAGCAACTTTGATATTTAATCATTCACCAACTTGATGAACTCATTCACGGATCAAAGCAAGCGGTTCCCTGAAAGCCAAATTGAAACGATACACGGTTGATAGGATACTTGCAAAACTTCTATGAACCTGTGGCGAGAGTGCTAGCTGTTCTGTAACTTGATTTTTTTTTAAAGCTGCTTGATGATATGTTATTCCGCAGTTCTCCGAATTGGTCATGTTTTTTCTAGGAAAATCCACTGCCCTCACATTTCACTCAGTAACAGCACCAGGTCCGGACACGATTTGAATATGTCTGTGGCCTTAGGTTTGCCCTTCACTAGATACCTTTATCTCCTGTGTATCAGATGTGTGAATACGGTCTGAAGGGAGGATTTGTACTAAATGAAATAGAAAATCCTATTACAGGGGGATAGAAAGGACAGCCTGCACAAAGATCAGAGTTGCTTGACCGATTGGTCTCGGCAGATTAGTCCTGTCACGCGGCCCTCCCGCCCATGGACGCCTCTAATTGAAGCTGATATATCCCCGTCAGCACGTATCAATATCATCCTTCGGCAGACAAAGGATCTTAAGGTCACTCTCGTCCAAGGTTAGAACACATCTTGTCGTAAGCCCTGGCTTATGTGATAGGAAGGCTAACACTTATTCCATGTGACATTTGGGGATCCCCCAATCTACGGAGATTAATAGGAAGCTGTCAGAAACACTTGAGGCACTAAAGACCAGAGGGGATCGTCTGACATTTGGTAAAAGAAAGGGACGGGCTGGAAACGGCGGTGCTAAATACAACCTATCTATCTTTAAAGTAATAAATATGGACGAGATGTCCAAAGATATTGTATCTTTTCATGCTACGTGTATTGCCATTTTACGGCGCCTCTTTCACAGTAGCCATGATAGATACCGTTACTTTGCCGTTAGACATGCCTGAGTCTTTTTTCTAAATGCCATGTGGTAAGCAGAGGAGATCAAAGTCTGAACACATCAAAGCACAGGAAGGCGATAATCAGATGAAGCGAAACCAGCGCATGTAAGGTACGGGTCACCCATATTGTAACCAGCACGGACTAGAAAACATACACCTACAGCAGCGTGCTAATCATACATCAGTCTCATCATACATCAGACTTTGATCAGCATTAGCGTTGCACTTTGATTAATGTCACAGAAAAAATTCAGAATTTTGCTAGATCGCAATGCCTTCATGGAGAACGACATTAGAAGATTGACACAAACAGTATTTTTTTTCGAATTTCAGTGTTGTTCTTCTGCATTTAGTTTGGTATGTACTCCGTGTTTTCTAACTCAGTCACCTGTAAATCTTGCTGCACTCCAGATATGCAAAAATGTAATAATATCTGAAAAGCCTCTAAATCTTACAACGCTGCGCACATACATGGATATAATTTAACCTGGAATCTGATTATGGGAACATGTGATATTAGAATTAAAAAGATATTCTCATAGTTCTGCTGCTGATGTTATGATGAATGTGAGACCATATACAACTATTTTTAGAAATATAACAAATTATGTATCCATCCCCATATCGTCACTTGTGGGCAAATATTACGACACAGATGGACTGTTATCATAGTATCTGAGATGCAGCAGCACCCAGGTCCAAACTGTGAACTCTGAAATTGTCTCAGGTCAAACTGCTGTGATATCCGAGATCGTAATCTTAGCCCGCCTGTGGTCACACGGAGCGTAGTGATAACTGGAATCAATCTATATGTACATCAGCGGTCAAAACACACTGCATAAAGGCGGGAGTTTCAGATGATGAATGGTACGTAAACCCTTTCAGTAAGTAACTCTCACTGAAAAAAATAATCCTGTTACATACTCTAAATCTCAGGAGGAAGTTCAACGCTAAAAGCTCTTTTCCTAGATCCATATCTTAATGGAACAAACTTCCCCGCTGTTTCTTCCCTGGTGGGTATAGCCGTATGTGGTTAGAATTTGCGGATACTATTTTCAAGAACAAATATTATAATGCCGTAGTCCATTGTATGAAAAACTACCGATGAACCTT